AATCTGTCGTCAACCATGACACCCAGAAATTTGATTTCATATACTCGTTCGATGTTAGCACCCCCAATTCTCAATTGAAGTTCATTGTGGTCTACGGTTCCCAAATACCATATATTTAGTTTTCTCCAAATTCAAAGATAGTAAATTACTATCACACCATTTCTTTATCTTCACAAATTCCTCTGAAACCCTTCCAGAGAGTTGCTGTAGGTTTTCATCAGATGCCCAAATGGTAGTATCATCAGCAAACAAAACCACTTTGACAATTTCAGAAACCTTACATATATCGTTAATGTATAATATAAATAATTTAGGTCCCAAAACAGAGCCCTGAGGCACTCCACATACAATATCAAGCTCACTCGATTGGTATTCACCCAACTTCACAAATTGACGCCTCTGTGTCAGATAACTTCTGATCCAATGGTGCTATGAAGATTGTGTTTTTTGGGTTCTCCAGCACCTTCAACACCATCCAGCCCCTGCCTCTGAGAGACAAAGCAATAGAGATGGGAGTGGACTCACACCTGGTGTCCTCAATTACAGACTATCTCGTGGAAAGACCTCAGTATATCAGGCTGAGGGATTGCACCTCAGAGACGGTGGTCAGCAGCACAGGATGGACAGCACAGAGGACAGTGCTCTCCCCTGTCCTTTTCACCCTGTACACCACAGACTTCGAATACAACTCGTGCTACATGCAGAAATTTTCTATCGACTGTAATTGTGTGGCGTATTAGGGATGGACAGGATGAGTGCAGGAGACTGGTGAAGGACTTTGTGGCATGGTGCAAGTCTAACCAAGTCTAATATTAATTCCTCCAAAACCAAAGAGATGGTGGTAGACCTCCGAAGGCCCAAACCCCACCTGGAGCTGGTGTCCATCGAGGGGGTCTGTGTGGAGGTCGTCCAGACCTACAAATACCTGGGTCTGCAAATGAATGACAAAACTGGACTGGACCACCAACATAGATGCACTGTTCAGGAAGGGACACAGCTGGATGTACCTTCTGAGGTGACTGGGGTCCTTCAACATCTGCCAGAAGCTGCTACAGATGTTCTGCCAGTCTGTCATTGCCAGCATCCTTTTCTATGCTGTAGTGTGCTGGGGAGGCAGCATTAAGAAGAGAGACGCCTCCATGTAGCAGAGACAAGAACCCTCAGTAAGCTGCTGTCCATCCTGGAGAATGTTCACCACCCTCTGCACAGCACCACCACCATGCAGAGGAGTTTATTCAGCAGGCACCTCTCTCCTGCTCCACAGACCGAGTGAAGAAGTCGTTTGTCCCTCGGGCCATACAACTCTTCAACTCCTCCTAGTGAGAAGGTCTGATCTGGACCTTTGGAAATGGACATGTGGTGTCACTACTCAGCTTCATAATATTATGATCCCACTTCACTGCACTGTGCACCCTTGTCTTTACCTTTGCACATAAGGCTCATTCTTGCTCATGTTGGAATTTGTTTTTATCCTTAAACACAGTGTTCAGTCCTGCAATATTGGGATTGTACACAGGTACCCCATGCACATTTACTTGTTATGTATATCTGATGTATACTGTATACCTGGCACATGCTACTTGATATGTACTGTATGTATAGAGAGACTCATTATGGTACTCAATATGTGTATATATATATATATATATATTTTCTATACTCTTATTGTTACTCTTGTTTCTCACTCTTATTGTTACACTTGTTTCTCATATTTTTAAATACTTTTTTCTTGTATTTTAGTCTTACACTTATACATTTCTTTACTTTGGGTACTGTGATTTTGGTAATCATTGCTATTGCTACTGGATACCTGAATTTCCCTCAGTATCAGTCTATCTAGCTAGCCAGCTAGCTAATCCCCAAATTTCCCAATATGAAGACAATATCTGTTTTACTTGACAGCACTGAATTTACATTCTGACTGATTTTATAACCTTTATGTGATTTTTCTGACACCAAGCTAAAATCAGTTTGTCCTGTCTGATTAAGGAGTAGGGAGACGAACCCTCATTACAAACTGTGGCTCCACTCAAGTAGATACCTCATAACTGTGAATTAACAAAAGGCAAACAAGTAGCAGGTGAATATTTCATCACTGATATATTAACACAGACATCTCAACATAGCAGAACAGTGTGAAGGAAACATTTGCTGAACCACATGTATTTATGATAAATAGAGACAAAAGGTTTGATAATAGCAGATTGTACACACAATTCAGTATATTAATAGCAACTTTTATACATTTCTACAAAAATAGAATCATTACAGTTGTCAAAAGCCTCCTTCAAGTACAAAAAGTAAAAAGAAAAATAAATATTTTCTTGACACTCACCAGTTGTATTTTTGAAAGTCTCATGTTTATTGTCAGACAGAAAACATGTAACTGACTCTTCTTTTAATCCTTGAATGCTCATGTTCTCTATTGTAATGTTTTTGATATTTTTTATTATTCACAAAACATCTTGTTTCTTATTTCACTGTCTGCAGTTACATGTTTTTCTATCTGACAGCTGAAATGTTAAAATTGTAACATAACAAACATGCTGACTGAACAGTAAAGTCAGTGCAAAGCAGAATCCAAAAATAGAAAGAGAGCATTAGCTTCATGGCTGAAAATGTGTGAGACAGGTATCCATCAACACATTGCATGAACAACACCATATTTACCTTAAAGTCTGTCTGGTGAGTAAATCATATACTGTTCTGTAGCTATCACAGACCCAAGCTGTAATTTTTTCCACCACTGACATCTAAGGTGTAGTCACACAAATAACTTCAGTAAGAAAATCCAAAATCAAGTGTACAGTTATCAAACAGTAATGCACACTCAAATACAACACACAGTGTGTCAATACCATGACAACAGACTTCTGGTTTCTAATGGTCTGTCAGGTGTCTGCTCAAATTATACTGTACATGTGGACACCTGAAACAAAGCTAAGTTTGATAGTTAAACAACAAGGCCCTTCTTCTCTTCTCCGGGACATTAGGAACCCCTTCAAGAAACCTCCTTACGAACCTCTACAACCTGCCCTCAAGGATCCCTGGAGCCTCCTCAAGAACCTTAGGAAACCTGTCAAGGATGTCAGAAACCCTTCAGGAAACCCTTTAAGAATATTTAGCTCAATGAACATTATTTTCAAATAAATATATACAACCCAGGGTGTATTATTTTTTTGCCTGCAGCTCTGTGAGAGTTTTCCCTGATATACATTTTGAAGCACACTACCAGTCAAAGGTTTGGACACACTTTACCACTGAACTGAATGGCAAAGTATGTCCAAACTTTTGACTGGTAGTGTGCATTCAAGATCACACTCTTTGTTTCCAGGTGGGGTTTTTTACATGATAAAATTTATTCAATTCATCAAGTAATTCAAGTTAAATCTTGGTCTTGAAGGCTTGTTCTTCCTAAAGCAGAAGAAACACATTTTATAGCCAACTACAATAACTTTTTTGCAGTCAGCCTCAGTCTTCCTTAAAATGATTTTCTGTGCAACAAAACAAGCAGCAGATGAATTTGTCTTCCTGTTAGAAACGTGAAAGTCCTTCATTACTAAGAGGTAAAAAAGATGAAACACTAAGAATGAGAAAAAGAAACTAGGCAAGAATATGACTTCCTAAAGTCACAATAACTGCTAAGTAAAATAATGATACAAAGTCAGAAGTGTGACTTCACATGAAATTAATTTTCATTATTTCTGAAGCTTCATGTATGTTTCTGTTTTCCTGCCAGAAATGGGCTTCTGTGCAACCTGCAAAGAAACAAACCAAATGAATCCACTTATGTGAACAGATTTTTTTACATTGCAGAAATGGAATAACAGGGAGATTAATATTAACATTACTATTCAGGATATTATTCAACAGGTTTATCATGTTTACACAGTATTGTTATAAAATTAGAATAAAGAAGATATAAAACACTTCACGTTCACAATAACAGTCTTTTTCATTTTTCATTTAAGTCAAATATTTTTTTTCTGCTGCAGAAAATTAGTCAACTGCCAGTCAAATACACCTTGAGTATAAAAAAAATCTAAATCTGCTGTTTAAAGTGAAACTTGCTGAAAAGTATAAAGAATAAAAATTTGATGTTAAAACAGAGTTTAAAAGTCATTTGTGTACACATCAACTGAAAACAGACGCACCTGTCCTTGCCGGCAGAACTGAAATTGAAAAAATGTCTGAGAAACATTTCTGCCAGCGACAGATGAAATGCTAAACAGCTGGGCAACTGTAAATTTTAGTACATTGAGGGTTTTTTATCTTCATCCATGCACAGTGAAATATAGGTAAAGGGATTACAGCAACTAGATTACAAAAAAAAAAAAACTGCAGCATTAGCCATTTGAGCCCATCCTCATTCCCAGAGCATCAAATTCTGATGATATGACAAGCACCGTTAGCATCCACTCGCATCAGTTTTGACACCCAGGTCAAGATCGTGGTATATGAAGGGAGAAAGACCACATAAGGAGGTGGCTAGTGCCTCAAATAAAACGTGGAACTTTCCCACAGGAGAGCGGAGCTTGTGTCCAGGAAATGTTTTTTAATCACTAAGCCCCAAATTTTTTCACTAAAAAAACAAACTAGTTAGTTTGTTTTTCTGTGCCTAACCATTTTCACTTTGTGTACAGATGGAAGCAGTGAAAACCCAGAGCATGTCACAATATATGGACACCAAAGACGGCCTATAGCGTCAGTATGAGATGTAAAAAGTACTCAACAAAATGTCAGTATTTGACACCCTGAGAATGAGAACACGATGGCTTCCCATATACTGTCGATGACTGAATCAACTGAAGTTGCTTTAGGAGCAATCATTTTGACTCTGATTCAATTTACCACTGGTGGAAAATAATTTCCTCTGTTTCCATTACAGTTTATTTGCTGAGATGAAATGACATCTGAAAATAAAGAATATTGTCATTAGTTGTTCAAATTGTGCAAAACTACAAAGTTTTTTTTTTTTTTTTGCAGCAACTGGTGTTTCAGAGTTGTGTTTGTTCAACACACACACCTGTGAGTGTGAAACTGCTGCTGAACAGTCTGTATAAATTGAATCCATCACCATCTCTTCTTTACAAACTCACTGTCAAAATTCCAAATTGTCTAAAGTTTTTAACTTTGCTCATGTCAGAAATCCATCCCTTCTCCTGCTTCCTCTTATCACTAAACTCCACCTCCTCTGGTTGAATGATTGACAGTGGTTTACGGGGACTGTCTGCCAACCTAAATTCTTATTAAACATCTATCTGTCCTGTTGAGGCATCACTGACTCCGAGCAGTTCATTCTCTGCTCGCTTTGACCAAGAGCACAAGCAAAAAGCGCAAATTGTGAAAGTAATCCCTTGGCTTCTTTGCTCATTATCTGAAAGTCATTCCCCTGTTGTCCTGCCTCCTCAGCAGCTGGAGTCCTCGCTGCATCCCCCTCCCCCACTGGACTTGGTGGGGGCAGCTGACCCAACAGCAATTTGGCAGCCATTGGTGACGTGACTCATGACTTTCTGTTTGAGTTGAGCAACCTGCTCCCTCAGCATGGCAGCGGTGGAAGCCAGGTCTGAGTTTTGGCTCTTCAGAACCTTCACCTTCTCCTCCAGCCGCGAGATCCGCTCCAGCTTCCGTTTGCGACACTTGGATGCTGCAATGCGATTGCGGAGCTTCTTACGTTCAGCTTTGATTCGTTCCTGTGTCTCCAGGTCAATCGGGGAAAGGGATGGTGGAGACATGGGGTCGCCCGGTGGGTGAGGCACCTCAGGGACTGTCTGAGGAGTGTCCAGGACTCGGGTGTGTGAATGAGGGGCTCCACCGCTGCCATGGCCTGAGCCACCACCATATGCTAACTGCCCACCTGAGTATTGCATCTGACCAGGGTTGTAGCTGCTGAGGTTGGTGTATATGGGCATGTCACCGCTGGACATAAGATTCCTCTGGTAGGATGTCTGCAGGGAGACAGTGGAGGACGAGGGCGGGGACATGGGACCACCTCCCACCAGCTGGTTCTGCTTGTGAAGATCTGCCAGTGCTTTGACAAAGCCATCAGCGAATCCTTCTTGCTCATTGGTTGCCTGGCTGCGGTAGATGAAGGGGTTGGTGGAGTTGGACACAGGACTGGTGGTGACCAACCCCTGGTTGGACTGGATGATCAGGTGCTCCAGGTCAGGGGACGCCAGCTTCAACAGGTTCATGTCTGCCGAGGATGCCACTGAGGATGCAGCTGATGTCATCAGGGTGCTGTTGCCAGCAAGCCCCAGGTTGTTGGGGTTCCCACCTCTCCCTCCTGCTGCACCACCACCACCGCCAGGAAAGTGATGGCTGCCCACCACTGACATGGCCTTCTTACTCAACAACATCTTGTTTCCTGGGTAACGCTCATACTCAGTGACCTGTCCATAGCCAGGAATGGCAGGGGAATCGTCGTGGTAAAAGGGAGTCTCCATCTTATCTATCATTGACGAGGACGCGTCTCAGAAGAAATCTCCATAATCAGATTAACCCAAATATCAGAGGAGATTGAAACGTTCCACTGACGTTGGCAGCTGAAGGATGAAGGCAGGATGAACAGAAGAAGAAGAAACAAAGGGAAGAAGAACAGAAGACAAGTCCCTGCAGGAAAAACAAATGTTTCTGTGAGAGGAAGAGGCAGACCAAGAAGAAATTATTGAATTTTACTGAAATTACTGAAGTGTAAACTATGAAGTGGTGCTGATACCGCTGATGCAAGTACAGTGTTTGTGCATGTATATTGGTACATGTTGTGTGTTATTAACTGTCTGAAGTGCAACTGAAGACACATTTCCAGCTCTAATGTTCTAATGATGTTCCATCATTGGTTCCATATAGTATCAGGAAACCTTCAGCAGTGGTTTCTTTGTGGTAATTTTTAAAATCTGGAGAACATCAGAGGTTCCTGTGACTATACGCAACATCTACATCACATTCATTTGACACTTTTGTCCAAAGCAACGTTTCATGTATTGTACATACGCACATTAGGAGCTATGTATTTCAGTGTTTTGTTTTCAGACATGTTGATGTGTAGACAAGAGCAGCTGGGGCCAGTGTGAAACAAGCAACTGCAATGTGTATCACATTCATGTGCATCCTTGTGCGTGTGCATGATACATCGACAACGGGGACACACTTTTAAAAACATTGGAACTGGTGGTCAAAACCTCCACTCCACACGGTCTGTTTGATCAGGATTGTTGTGTGGGTGTGGTTTGATTACATTTATTGACACTGGCCTGGCAACGTGAGCAAACAGCCCCACAGCTGTGATCAAATGTTACTGGTGCATTCATGTTGCTTTGGCATAAATGGTTGTGTTCATGTGGGACTGCCCCACTCATACAAGTAACTGGCTGAGACAATGTCTTTACAGGCCCTTTGATGACTACACTTAGGTACAGTTCTGTGTATTCACAGAGTGATTTCTGAGAGTTTTTAAAAAATCCATTGATGTATATCTATGTGCTTTTGTATATATGCATATAACATAAATGTGTTTCTACAATGACCCTTTTAAATTGTACACATATGTACAGGTGTGTAAGCTATAAATATGCCAGTATGAATTTTAATGTGATTAAACATGATACTACAGTATTATGGTAGTAATGTTACTGCAGCGTGTTGACTATATACAGTAGGAACATAACGGCGCTGCAGGCTCTGCTGTGGAGAAGTTGGTTCCAAAAAAGAAGCATTTTTTTTAATTTGGAAGAAGTTTCATAACACTAAAGGACAGGTTCAAAGTTCTTTCAAGTTATCTTGTCTGTATATAAGGAAAGATTGTTTGCGGTGGCTGTAAAAAACAGATGTTTCTTAAGTGATCCCAGTCTAAGTGAATTCTTTCTTTTTGCTTCAGTGTGCAGTGTTTGCTTGCTACCATAGATGAGGGACACAACACAAAAAGGACATTTTTCACTAGAAGTCTGCATCTGCGGGGGATACTGATGTGTCTAACTCTGACCCTGAAGCTTCATATAAGAATATATTTTTACACGCAACAAGGACGGCGTGTTTGTCCCCTCATTACAGCAATCAAAACAATACATGAAAATGTGAATACTGTGACTTGAAGGAAAATGTAAACCTTTTGAGTTAAATTAGCAGAGGGCTTCATCACACAACAAAGGCCGTAGCCTACTCTGTCATCTTGTAACAAAACCACCCATGTGATGAGACACATGAGCATCTGACTCAGCTCAGGTTGCTCATCATCTCAAACATTTGCTTCCCGATAATGAATCACAGCAGTATATCAGGAAAAAAAGGAAAACTCATCTGAGCTTTAAAGGAAAAATAGAGTTAAACGGTCATCATAGGAGGCACTGTATGAGGCAAATTTAACAGCACAAGGCACGAAACACCAGGCTGATATCAGTCCCTAGCTGCATGGAGTTGACCGGCTGAACTCAGCTGATGAACATGTTTGTATCAGAGATCAGTGAGATAGCTCTCTCTGCTCCTCTACAACACCCTGTGGGTCCAACACAGACACAACAGACTTTTTACTTTCAAAAATACTGTACTGCAACAATATCTTGCACTATCAGGATATTATTTACAAAGGCCACGTTGGCCCCCCTCTACCTGTTAGTGCCCTCTGGTGGGCAACTAAAGCAATGGCAACAGTGTTTGTAAATTAAGTCCAACAAGTCAACATTTCATGTTGCTTACTAGCCAACACATACACCTATATCATGTGCAATAAGCTAAGTCAGTCAGTCAGTCAGTCTGTATATCAGCACTGCCAGCTGATTGGTCCATTCTATGGTACTTGTGCTTTACTTGAGTAGCCAGCCTATACTTCTTATTTCTGCTGCTTTACACTTCACTACAATTCAAAAGGAAGTACTGGACCTTTCACTCACTGTTATTTACCTGACTGCTGCTGTATAAAATAGGCTATATGTTCAGTTAATAAAATTACTAATTTGTAATAAGTGAACTACTCAACAACTCCATCTACACGCCATACAACATTAATAAAATAGGTAGGACAACACAACAGCAACAATCCAATAATATAAAGTGTTATAATAGACCAGTGAATTACCCATCTACAGCGCACTAAGCGCTTTATTTATGCTGACTAAAATAACTGTGGATAAGCTGTTGGAGTTTGAGCTCCTTTCTCCTCTCATCTCTCAGATCTACATCAAATGTTAAACCCGATTTAAATGTGCTGAAGTTCTCGGTACAGCAACTTCAGACCGGGAGAAGGCAGAGCCAGGCGGCGCCGCTGGATGAATTCAGACATACACAGACTAACAAACGAGTGGAGCAGCGGTTTGATGCACCTGACACACTAACGTCGCAATGTAACACAGTGGCTTGCTCTTAATACAGACCATAATAACATCTGATGAAGGTTAATACTCACAGAGAGAAGCAGAGTGCTGCTGCGAGATCCGAGAACAAACTGAGTGAGTCAGAGAGAGTCAGACTCAACTCTCTCTCTCTCTCTCTCTCTCTCTCTCTCTCTCTCTCTCTCTGATAAAGTGACTCACACTGACATTTTGTGTTCATCAGCTTATTAGCACCTTTTTAATGAAGTAATTCATTTGCGGTCATGTTTGAAATGTTATATTAATATGTGCTCTTTTTCAGTATATTTCAATCAGGCAATCTAAAGTATCACAATTCAACGGAATGAACTGAACACGGGGTTAATTCACAATGGACACTGAATAACACAGCAGCATAACAATAATAAGGGACTGTGCAAAATCGCAGGGCGGGGAGGAGAGCTAGGGAGCAGGGCAGCATTATTAATATCTCCTCTGGACACTCCTCTTGACCAAGAGACAAACTGCCAGGCCACATCCAGGTTATATCACACTATTATTTGGTACAGGTCATTTTGCCAACAGTAATAACAATTGCAAATATACTGAAAATGCTCTCCTCCAGTCTGAACAATAATGGAATAATTATTTTACACAGCCACCAAATCATGTAAAGGAAGGGGAATTACAAACACTACAACTATATAAAAAAAGTGGTGCTCTGATATTTTACAGCTGTATAATAGTGACAATTACTTGAGATATTATGTTGAATTAATCAAGATTCCACATTGTTTCAGCAAAAAAAGTACAGTACTTTTTGTAAAGTGCTTCATCATCATTAGATACTAGGCATTTGTTCTATGTACAGTAACTCAAAACAATACACAGTCTAAGTAGGGCTATAGTTAATATTTTAAGAATATCAAGTTAATGAAATTCCCCCACCTTTTCTGTTATTTATTCATTTATTTAGTTGGTTGGCTATATAAAAATATTATTTTATTTCCATATATGAAGGCCTACAAGCATAATTCTGTATTTTGCCAGGATTTGTTGTGTAATAACACAAAATCCCTTCATTTCACAACAAGGTATTGATTCTAAAGAATATCAAAACCTGCCATGTAATTTACCTACAGTCATAGAAAGCAGAATCCGCAGGTCATGGACATGACCTACAGTGTGTTACCTCGGTGGTACCTGAGAGTCAACACACAAACAAATGCAGTCAGTCAGTTGTTACCAACCCGCACATGTACATTAAACTGAATCCACCAGTCATACAGTATATTAAGTTGCTGGCTACAGTGTTAAGTATACAGTTCAAAGTGTGGTTTCCTGCATCAGTCAGCTGATTGATTAGTCATCATGTCAAATGTTACCATATTTGAATCTGTTTCTGAATTTTTATAACAGTCTGAAACCCAACCAACACGTAACCACCGTGTGTGTGTAATGGCAAATAAGTGTGTTTACTTTGGCAGGGTGAAGTAATTATAGTTCGTACTGTAGGTGGAGTAGACAACACACATTCACACACAGCTGATGTTTCACTGACTGTTTATGGGAAGATGAACTGCGTTATACTTCACTGGATGGAAACAGTATTGTGTTTATTTATTGTTGTTAAAAATTGACATGTAACTGCGGTGTGGTGTCAGTCTCACTTTAAACTCCTAACAGACATCACCTCACAGTGAATGTTTTTGGCATCAATCTGTAAACCAGACCAACAGTCTGCAGTCCTTCTAGCTTCCCCTGGAGACCGCGTTGTTAATTACAGCCATTTTACATCCATTATAGGCCAATTCTTGGTTGCAAATATTGATCATTTCTGTGTTAAATAGTGATGTCAAACTGTTTTATTTACAGTATATTGCTCAATATCTGTGTTTCAACACAGTGAAAGATGGCTTTGGAAAATGGAGGAAAGCAGGAGAAAGGTTTACAGAGCTCAAGAAATCTCATTTTCATCTGCAGAGGTGGAAAGTAGCAAAGTACATTTACTGAAATACTGTAGGTAAGTACAATTTTGAGGTATCTGTACTTTGCTTACATATTTCCATTTTCTACAGTATTACTTCATTCTTTGACTTCACTACATTTCAGAGAAAATATTATATTTTGATAACTTTAGCTACTAGTTACCTTTCAGAATTAATAAAATACAACACAGTATAAGCATGAGATTTTATTGATTGTCAGTGGAAAATTCACAAGTTTCCCAGAAGTATGTAAAGCACTTCCATTTATAAGCATATAAGGCAGTTAACATCAGCTCTACCTTTACCAGCTGCAACATTAAATGTGATGTACACAATAA